CCCCACCCCCACTGTGACCCACCACAGCCTCACTTGTCAATGCAGATCTTCTCCACCTGGGGCACCAGCACCTGGAGCAGCCTCATGATGGTCTGCAGTGGCAGCTTCGACTTCCAGGAGAGGACCTGGGGGGGCACCAGGATTCCTCGGGCTGGGGAAGCAGCCGCCAGAGGCTATGGGACAGGCCTGACCCCTGACCCAGAACTACAGGCTCCCCAAGGCAAACAGCAAGGGCCTGGCACGGGGAAGCACCCATGAACGGTGGCTACTTTTCATGGTAAGAGCTGTGGCCTCGCACTGAGCACATACTACATGCCAGACACTGTCCCCTTGGAGCCTCACAACAGCATGATCAGGTGGGTATGTTCATTACCCCATGCAAGTGCCATTAGTAGTGGTGACCTCAGGAAACACACAAGGGATGGGCAAGTGATTCAGGGAAGGAAGCAAAAAGGGTGATTTATTGAGAAAGTTCGTGCTGTGGGCAACTGAAGCTCCACCCGCTACAGAGGAAGCAACTGAGTCAGAGGGAGACCAAGGCCACCCAGCCGGGAGGACTGATCCTGAGTCTGGTTCCCAGGCCAGTCCTTGGACTTGGACACATTCCCATCGAGCCTTTACTGAGCTGTTCCCAGTCCCAGGAGCTCCTGACCCAGCCCCCACGTGGGTGCCACCTGCCCAAACCCTCACCCACTCCGATGTCGGGCTCCACTGCCCACTGGCCGATGCACTGGACAGTCGCTGCTGCTCCCACCAGGCCTGGCTGGGCTCCTGGTCCCGAGAAGGGAATGGGGGTAAGGGGTGGAAGGCACAGGTACAGGGTTGGGGCAGAGGGCAGAGAAGTAGCCCCTCTTCCAGCCCATCCCACAGTCCAGAACCCATGAGGGCAATGAGGTCTCTCCACTGGCCTGTGTGCATGGGGGGCTCACTCCCAACTGAGGGGACAGCTCAGCCTGGCACCCTTTGCCCTGCGCCCCAGGCCCTGCCCGGCCCTGCCCAGCTCAGTGACAGGTTTAGGGTAAAGGCCAGCCCAGCCTCAGATAAGGCTGATGGATGAGAGGCTGAAGGTCAAGGGCTCAAGCCCATGATCAATAAAAAAGGGAGGGGTCGGTGAAAGCCCCCTCCCCAGAGAGCCAGCCAGGCACCTGCCCTCTGCTGCAGGCGGCCCCAAAGTGCCTTGGCTGGCCAAGGGAGAAAGGGAGCGCCCAGCCTCACCCAACTCCAGGAGCCCTGTCGCCCACCTCCTCAGCTGGACTGCCGTCTGCGGAGCTCTGTTGGCGTGTGGGCTCCACGGATCGCAAGGTGCCATCCTCTGACACCTGAGACTTCTCCGTCAGCTTGTCAATGCCTGGGGGGCCCAGAGGGGCGTGAGGACACCTGCCCAGTGCCCCTCCTAGACAGCATCTCCACTGGGCCGCTCCCTCGAGGCTCCCTCTTTCCTCCACCCACTTTAGAGACCCTCTGCCTGATGGCCCAATGCCCCCACCCCTGTGCCCACCCCTCCCAGAGCCCACACCCAGGCTTGAGGCCCAGAGCCCCACTAAGCTTCCCCTCTGTACTCCAGTGTCTCTGCCCC